TCCTGCATTTATATCATGTTGTCAATAGAGTGGTATCACTCAGGGGGAAGAGGGCTACGAATTAATATTACTTGGCTGAGAAACTAAAGCAGGTTAGTCTAGAAGCATAACAAAATGCAGTTATGTTTTGCCATGACGACCCCCAAATGACACCTTAAATGCTGACAGAGTGGAAATTGGGAAAGATTTATTTATTACTTTGTTACTGAAATAAACTGGAATATGTGTTTAATACCTCACCAACAATAAAGGAGACAGTCCGGCTCAAGAGATTCGTAGCTACGTTCAACAAGTGAGACCAAACTTATCATTTCTCTACAAGGTCCAGAGGTGCTAGTTTAAACATGAATTCTTATATTGGACCTCTCTGTTAGAGAGGAACAAAGGCTAACATTTGTTTTCTACCATTTAGTAACTCACCAGTGGTTGTTTTTTTAAGTTTCTGCAGCAACCAGAAAACTTACCTGCAAAAATAAAGCGGCTTGCATTTGAAATAGAGTATAGAATCTGCAGTGGTTGCCTTACTTCAGAGTCCAGTTAAGGGGGCTGATCATCTACACTGGGCAGGTCACCAGCTGCAAACTAGCAGCCACATGTCTAACACTGTACTTAATACCACCTCTGACAGAACAGAAACTTGGACCTACAGAATGAGAACTGTTTAGGCACCTAACTTGCACTGAATTTGCTAGGAATTAACGTCCCTACCGTCTTCCAAATTCTTGGCATCGTTCATTTGAAGAACCTTATATAACATGATGGATTGGGCTTGCTCCTATCTGAAGTCTGTAGAAGTTCTGACATTGGTAACATGAGTGAGCTCTGCTCTGTGGCTAAAATTAGTACTAAGCGTGTCAATAAGCAGTTCCGTGGAATTAACCATGACAAAGCCTGTGTGCAACAAACAATCCCTCATCCATCTTCTCCACTGCTACAGGGAAGGCTCCAGATGTGGGTTGATGTTTTCCCCAAAAGCTTAGGACCTCCAGGCCCTCCCTTCAACATCACTCCCCGAAAAGCCAAGAAGTGAGTATCTGTATATACTACATACCATCTGGCAGGCCTGACAAAGGCAATTCAATTCTTTTTCCCCAAACATCTTCTCTCTTAGGTATATCTTGCGGGTGATTGTCTGGAACACCAAAGATGTCCTTCTGGATGAAAAGAGCATCACAGGGGAAGAAATGAGTGACATTTACGTGAAGGGGTAGGAGCACCCTGTTATGTAACACTTACAAATGAATGATGTTCAGAATGTCCTGGGAATGCCTACACTGTGGATTCCAAAGATTATTTGGTTCAGCCAAGTTAATGCGCACTACAGCCTCTGAAATACTGCTAACCTCAGAGAAGTATAGAAATACTATGAGATAAAATATGACCAGTTAATGTGCAGTGGAGGATCGCAGAAGTTCAGCTCTTGAGATGGGAAGCAACTGAAAAGATAGTGAGTTAGCTTTGGTGCTGCATAACCTGAAATCTTTCTTTTTACGTTTCCTAGTCTTACTGTAAATAATTCAATAGATATCAGAGAAATATACTACTAGGCTATTGATCTAATTTATCCTTAAAAAAGAAGTAAAAAAGCCCCACCAACAACTCACCACTGGTACAGTACTGGTCTTAGCAGATCAGAAATTCAGTTCAGATGTTTCTATTTACAGTGCCAAATTGGAACCAAACTGAGAAAGGGTGTGAAAGACTCTCCAACCTTCTATGAGCAACTCTTACAGCTTGTTTGCAACTACTTAATGACATGGTTACAGTACAAATAAGCACCAGTGTAGTCCCACTGCAAACACCAGGCACATCTCTCTGTATTTTCAGATGGATGCCTGGTAATGAAGAAAATAAGCAGAAAACTGATGTTCATTACCGATCATTGGATGGTGAAGGGAACTTTAACTGGAGATTTGTTTTTCCTTTTGACTATCTCCCAGCGGAGCAACTCTGTGTAGTTTCCAAAAAGGTAAGTATTTCTAAAGATATCAATACTTAGAATACAGATTGTAATTAGTCTGATAGTTTTGTACCTACATATTGAAACAGACAGTTTGGCTCAGTTCTGCATACTTTTCTCAAACTGCTATTCAGATTCAATTTTGCCTTTGAGCTAGGAACAACACACTGGCAACAACAGCAGTCTCCTCTTAGCAAGGGCAAGATTAGATCCTTAATACTTCCACCAACCACAGAATTCACAAGTACTAACAGACTGCAGCTTTGAATTTTCGTAAGTAATTTTAAAAAGGGGCTTGGGTTTCGTTTTTTAAAATTTTAGGAACATTTTTGGAGTCTTGACCAGACAGAATTCAGAATCCCACCCAAACTGATCATTCAAATATGGGATAATGACAAGTTCTCCTTGGATGACTATCTGGGTAAGACTTCTAAGAAAAGAATTATTCTTGTCTCAAAGTAAGAGATTAAAACCAAACAATTTTAAATTATCGCATAAGGATTGTGTTTACAAAGTGAGCCACTGAGCATGCAAATACACTCCTGCTTTCCTGCACAGTACAGGGTTACTTGTCTTCATGAATGAATGAGTGAATATTCACTCAGTAAGGGCCTACTTGCAGGTAAACCAAGATACTTTTCATTCAGGTAAGCCCAATCACAAAGTCCATGAAATGATAATGGTCATGAAAACTTACTTTGCTTCTTTCTTTAAGTAAAATTATTTAAAACAAGAGTACTTCAATCTAAGTAAGAGTACTGACATAAGGCTGTAATTTAGCTTAAGCAATCTACCTCAGACCTTTATTAATCCCTACTTTTTGTAGAGATACTGCTCTGCAGAAGATTCTCTGCCCTGTATTAAGACAGCTCCAAAGTCTTTAGCTTACAAGCTAACCATAGAGGCCTCAAAATCTGAAAACAAATAATTGATTTATAACCATCATTAAAGTTAGCTAAATTATGTATTTAACTATCAGAAATTACATTAGTATTACATTGCTGTATTTGGTTGTCTTCTGCTTAGGGGTGTGGGGAAAAACACCCTCTATTAAAAATCAAGTGATCTTGCATTAAAAAAAGGGGGAGGAGAGCTTGCTAAGTCCAGTTTAACACCAGCACTTTCAACACCAGCAAGATGGGCTTAAACACAGGCTGATGTGTCCCACTTCCCTGCCTCACCACATCCTTAGACAAACAAGAATGTAATGTGTAGGTTGATTGTTTTTCCTGTATAACATGTTTAGAGATAGGAAACATTGATGTTGAACCACTGTGCTCTATGGTTGGTTGTGTATGCAGTGTTTGGGTTTTTTTATCCATCTCCTAGGCTTTGTGGAACTTGATTTACACAAAACAATCATTCCAGCAAAAGCTCCAGAGAAATGCAATATAGACATGATTCCAGAATACAAGGCAGACGGTTCTCAGAAGGCTCCCAGGACCGCCTCTCTCTTTGAACAGAAATCCATGAAAGGATGGTGGCCATGTTATGTTGAAAAGGATGGCTCCCGTATTTTAGCGGTATGATTATTACTCCTTTAAAAAGTACTTAAAAGATGCTCACCTTGCTTTTCAAATTATAAAGACAGACTGTAAAGAGTCCCCTGCTTAGCTGTTAGATTTCAGTGGATAGACGGAGGAGTAAATAGAACATTCCACGCACAAGTTCAGGAATTTTGCTCCATCAACAATTTTTTGTTTCAAAGTATGAGTTTAACACGTAAATTTGTTTATTCTGTTTAACTTGAAGGACTCTGGCACCAGGTTGAGTCATGTTATCTCGCCAAAGCAGCCAATAGAGTTATTGGGTGAATGAATTTATCACATCACTGCTTAGGAAAAACACAAGACATCCTAAATGCATTAAAGACTAAAGAAAATAGTTTAAAAATCCAAAGCATTTTTGTGCACATCAAGTATAATTTATATACTGAGAACCCAGACTAGCTTCATGATTATGAAGGGCAATCAGAAGACAAAAGCATTTTAACCTGTTCTATGAAGAATATAAATGCATATTTATCACTTGCTAGAGTATTAAGCCTTTCAAGTATATCTGCTGCTTCCTTCTGATGTTTTTGCCTTTAAACTTTATTACTGGAATTTAGTAAATGAAGAAAAATATTCAGAAACATCTATCAGCCATAGCAATATAAAAAATGAGATGCTTGGTCATTTGGAAAAGATGCAGTCCTTGGGTTGTTCTTGAAAGAAGAGAAGGATTGGTTTTTGTTTTGCTCTTGAAAGAAGAGAAGAACTGGTTTTGTGTTGCTAAATTGGAAAAAAACAATGTATAGCTTAAAACAGAACTACAAATGAATTAGCAGAACCATTTTATGTACTGTGATTTTTTTATTTTCTATTTGTCATTCTCTGATACTGTGATGTGACACTGTCATAGTGCAGAAATAATTATATTTTGGGAAGGAAATGGGAAACACACAGATGCACACAATATACTGATCCCAAACTCTGCTGTATAAGTACCAAGCAAGTACTATTAGTGCTGTTTCAATAAGATGCTTGTCTCATGCTACATGTTTTCTGAAGGGTAAAGTTGAAATGACATTGGAAGTTGTCAATGAAAAAGAAGCTGAGGAAAGGCCAGCTGGTAAAGGAAGAGATGAACCCAACATGAACCCCAAACTAGATCTACCAAAGTAAGATCTTTTTCCCTTGCTAGCTTGAGAAATATATAATATCTAGCTACTATGATGTTCTTGACAAAATCTGCATGCAGTAAAGGATCTACTAGACATCCAATTACCCTTTGCAAAACTTCATTTGTAAAAGCCAGTCTTGTTTCCTTCTGCAAGCATTAGGGTAAAATGCAAGGTGGTATTCAGTATTAATGGCACACGTTTACTGAAACTGCTATCTTACATTACAAAACTATCTGTGTTTTCCCAGCCTCCAAACCACAGTGTTTTAATGTGTTATATTCTCATGCTTAAGTATTCCCTGTTTTTATAGTATGAGTAATATTTGTTTCTTTCAAAATGCAGCCGACCAGATACTTCCTTCCTTTGGTTTACAAATCCCTGCAAGACAATGAAATTTATTGTGTGGCGCAGGTTTAAATGGCTCTTTATAGGCCTTGTCATCTTGCTGATTTTACTCTTGTTTGTTGCAGTACTCCTCTACTCATTGCCGGTAAGAATTTTTAAATGTTGCTGTTCTTCAGCTGTGGTACGAAGCTAGCTTATATATGAGTCATCAGCAGGATACAGTCCTTACTCAGACAAGAGGTTCTGTCAATTCAGTTTTAGCAGGGAGATAGGGATTATATCCTTATAGCTATAAAAAAATTCAACTGATTTTTGTTGAGAAACAATTAAGATTTATGTTGTAACTTACCTATTAACTAAAGATGGAGCAAATGAGTGCTTTAGAAGTGTTAATAACCTACACAATTAAAAATAGTTAATAGATGGTCTAGAATCTGGTTTTCCATCTACTTTAATCTGAAATATCTTACTAATTTTTACTGTATTTTAACTGAAATTACCATGCCCTGAATACATTGTGATCCATTTTAATATCTTAAATGTCTTTTACAAAACGATACTGAAGTATTTTGTGTGCATCTTTTTACACCTGTTGTTTCTTCCCTCCTCCCCCAACAGAACTATTTGTCAATGAAGATCGTGAAACCAATTTAAAGAAGAGTTTTTTACCTCGTCTTTTTACATAGTAATGAGGTTTCGCCTCAGGCTGTGGACCAAATTCAGCAAGGCTCTCCATCCTTTTTATCTGCTAGTATTTGGAACTGTAAAATAGATAAGTAAGAATTTAACCAAGGTTAGCCAAGGTTCAAGGGGTCATGACAGGTGTTTTTAAAAAACAAAAGATAAACCCCCTCATGTTCCATGTACTTTTTTTTTATTCCAGTAGTATCTACACATGGTAAAGTTCTGACTTCCTTGCTTTTAAACTAGATTTTTCATAAAAACCACTGAGGAGGCTACCTGCTATCACTATCTCCATTTTTTTTAATGGATACTTCCTTCTGAGAATTCCTTTCTATTGGGCACACTTCGAAACTTTGAATTTTAATTTAATGAAAAACAAGCACTACTTATGTATACCAAAGAAACCTCACAGTGCAATCAAAGAAGGGTTAGACATTGTTTCTAGAAAAGTTTTCAGCATCGTGCTGCTTAAAATTTTTAATTACTGCACTGTAGACTTGACAACGCTATATATGTGTCTTGACAACAGCTGCATGCGCATAGAAACAAATAATATACAGTTTACTTAGTATAATTTACAAATGTTTAAATAAACCTATCCACAAGTAAAATGCAAGTTTCCAGTTTTCTTTATCTATTGCAAAACTACAATGCATTAGGTATTGTATAGTGTCTATCAGAGGATGTAGTGCCACAAATCTGGAGGTTAAGGTATTTTACTGTTATCTTTACAATGAAGAATAAGGAAATAGTTCTGCGCAAAGTTCTAATGAATTTCTTCATTAATTAGAAAATTAATAAAGAAATTAAATTTGTTGAATAGTTTCATTATACTCCTTGTATTTAGAGATGATCTTGAATCAAAACATAAGAGGATACACAACCCAGATTCAACCCTTGTTTTTGAAATATGATCGGCACAGGGGAAGTATTTTATTTAGCCTCATTCTCCTCTCCCTAGGCACAGTAAAATATAATCTGCACTAAAAATCAGGTTATAGTCTGGGATTCCACTTCACTTTTATGGAGGGCCAAAGCAGAAGCATCTCTCTGAACATTCTCTGGTGCTTGAAATGTAGGAAATATGCAGCAGAACCTGAAATCGACATTTTGTATGATTGTCACACTCTTGACTGGATAAAGACTTCAGCTGTCTTTAAAAAGATGGCAAAATTAACTGCAAGAATGAATCAGTCTTGAAAAAATCTCTGTCCTTGTATTTAGTGGCACACTTAATGCTTCCTTATAACACAGCACTGTAAAATAAGCTTGCACTTCTCAGGCAAAATAAGTAAATTATACTGACTTAATTCTGTTGAACAAGCTAGGGTAAAGGTATTACATGAAATAATTTCCAGAATGTGAAGTCCTGTTGGCTAGAGTGGAGCAAGCAGGGGTCATCCTGTCAAAAAGATAACAACGCCTTTATTTTTTAGTTGTTAAGAAACTCTCAAGCATCTTGACCTATCAACAAGAGCTCAGAGCTGGAACTAATCACCATCCAGATGGATTGTCCCTTCACTAATGATGAAACAGCACTCCAGAAATAACTGGCAATTTGCTAATGTTTGATTATCCACTATTAAAATCTGTCTCAATTAATGCCATAAATCTGACAGACAGTAAAAATCACAGCAGCCTTATTTTCATTGTAGGACAAGAAAGTGCGTTGCTTGTAGGGATTGTAATTAGAAAGCATTTAACTTGAAAGAGCATTCCCCAGAAAACAATTGTGAAATGGAGCAGAGATCTGAGCAAGCCTGTTCACCTAGCATTTGAAGAGTGGCAGGTACTGCCCTTCTGAGTTGAGTTCACCCTCTTCCAGATGCCTTTTTGTCCAAGCATGCATAGGCTTGATAGTCACTACAGTTAGGCAATGCCATTAAAAACATAACTGAAGAGTCTGAGAAGCCATTCTATCTCCCAGGCTGCTCCAGTAACAAACAAAAGAAAACACATGTTCACAAGAAAGAAAACGTGATCATTAATATTTACATACAGTGCTAGTCAAAGCTGTAATTCCCTGGTGTAGCTGCTGTGCGTGACTCCAACGTACAATAGCTTTTTGCCTAGTTCAAACAGTTAGCAAAGATTTAGCCTTGTGCAGGGAACAGCTTTACGCTGCTCTTGTTCTGCACTGACTGCTGGGATGATCACTGTGGCCAGGACAGCTCTGTACTGCTCCAGTTGCCAGAAACTGAGGCAAACACCTCTGAGGCCACAGAAAAAAAGGAGAGAATGTAGATGTGTCTGATATCACTCCTCCGTATAACAGGAAATTACTTAACCCCATGAATTTGCTTTGCCTAAACTGATAAGCTGACAAATATTTTGGCCTGTGAGCTGATGGGGCCAGTTCAGCTGCACTCACTCCTGTCATTGAGTCCCAAGTACACAGACTCTGTGCTTCACAGAAAAGATTATCTGAGTCTAAAATGACTTCTCTGTTCTGGGAGAAGAAAATGTTTGATGACCTTACGATCGCTGCACATGCACGTCATTCAAACACAAGATGCTAGCTGGCTGAAACAGCCAGCGAAAGGCTAAAGCTAACCGGAAAGTGCTTTTAACAAAAAATGGCTAAATAAAAGCAGTATGTCAGAGTCCTCCTGTCGCTGACGTCATGTAGGTTCAAACAACAGCAGCTGCACTCTGACACATTCAGGTATCCAAGCAGCATGTGACTGCCTGGCGCTCGCTTGCTTTAGTCACCCCAAACCCTGACTACTGGAATGGGCTGTAGGGCGGTTAACAGCTACTGTCATGTGCTTTAGAAGTAGAGAGATTGTACAAGAAAGAATCATCATGTAGCTCAAGAAGAAAAATTTGCACCTAAACCAGTGTAAAGTGTGGAAAAAAAAAAAAGTGTAAGATAAAGAGGCAGTAAACTCACCAACACCTACACGCTGTTCTTGCATTTCTTTGAACAACCACAAGATGACATCCCAAGTCTCATGTGTTCACAAAGGCCTTCCAGTACTTCTGTTTTGTTCCTATCCTAAATGCATCTCACATACGGAGATGAACAAGATAGATCTGAAATTTAAGGAAAAACGCAGTCCCATCCAAGTCCATTGCTTCTAAGAGTATTTGGAAAGCACAGCTGTTAGCGCCTTTGGGACCTGCCTATTATATACAAACAGAAAGTGACTCCATGTGTGGACCCCACTGACTCCAATGCTGTTGTAAGTAGGATTTCCACTCCATGCCGCTAGATGCTGAAGTATCTGTTTAGCAACTTAAAAGCAGTACCAAAGAGCGAGATGGCAGCATTCAGTGCTGAGTCTCATGTCAGTGCTAGCTCAGCTAGTAAACAGCACTCAGCTTTTTTCCATTGCTCGGTTGTGTGTGCCATGTATGCAGACAGGCTGTCACATGTGCAGACAGGGACCTGAATTAGAAAGACAATTTGCTAACAAAGGAAAACGAGAAAGTTTTTTAAAAAAATTCACATGCAGAAAAGAAATCAGAATACACAGTATGTCTGTCAAGTCTAACCACACTCTGACCACAAAGCTACCCTTCAAAAATGTTTATCTCCTTTGTAACCTTTGCTGTGGCTAAGAGATTAAATCCATTGACAAGTGCAAGATGAGGAACACAGTAGGGGGAAAAAACACCCCATACTTCCCTGAAGCCACCAAAAAATCTCTGAATGCATTATAATTGCTTATGAAAGACTCCAGGGCAGTTCTGTTCCTTTCTCAGACACACAAGATGTCAGGACTAGCAGCAAAAAGCACTGGGGCATTCAGGGCATGGCAGGAGGGGCACAGACTCCCTGAACTGAGCAGTGGGACCGCCAGCCACCTCAAAGGGATCCGCAAGTGCCAGCACAGAGGAGTGAGGCGCTTGCTGAATTCCTTTAGGGGAGCTACCTAGAGTTGGTCGGTGAGAGACAATGAGCCTTCAGCACGTCTTACACGAGTCGAAGCGCACGCCCTGCACCTCACAGCTCAGGGCTGCAGCAGGGCGCCAGCATCCACATGGGTTCTGCAGACCAAACCACCTCCCCTCCATTCCCTTCTGCAACACTACTGCTACCACAACAGCAGTGCTGGGAAGTGGTCCCACCAACACCGCCTCAGTAACGGCACGCCCAGCCAGCCAGCAGGTTTTGGTTTAAACATTTCAGGCAGAGAAGTGAACTGAACCTGCACTTCCAGTGTAATTCCTGTCACTGTTAGGGAATTATTGTAAAACAACAGAAGCCACCATCACCATCATCTTCTAAAAGAAAATGTGGGCGTTCATTACGGAAGCCGGTTGTACTCTCAGACTGCCTACTGCCTCCGGCCCAGGCTTTTGGAGATACTGAAACTTTTGGTCATGATGAAGGTTAGGTGCTGAGCTGCTCAGCTCTAAGAATACACACATACTGCCAGAAAGAAAGAGATGCAGAACTAGGAGTGACTGAAGAGTTTATATAAACCTTAAGTGCCACTTGCTGTTAGGCAGTAATGGAAAAATTACAGATTTGCACCTAAGCACCTGAACTCTCGTCAGTACCTCTTTACACAGCTATGCCCTCTGTTGGGTCTGCCATTGCGAGCAGGTCCATACAAAACAGCAATTAGGAAAAGTAATAAAGTTAGAGGCATCATCAAACAGGGAACAATGAATAAACCAGAATATCTTACCGTGTTGTATCAATCATACTCATCTGATGTTCAAAATTCATATTTGATTTTGCTACAGGTCTCAAAAAAAACCACTTTATAAATGAATAAAGATTTAAATGTGGACAATGAAAGTAATCAAGAGCAAGCAGGAAGGATAAGGCCTCCTGTACAAGAAAAGCTTGAGGTCAGCACTAACCTGGAAAGTGACAGAGTAACAAGAACACAACAGATATCTAAAGTAAACTACAGAGGGGTAGAGAACATACAAATCAGATGCCTTGCTGCAGGGACTGTATTAAAACCATGCACATGCACACATGAAGACTTCTTCCCCCTCAAAACCTTCAAACTAAAAGGCAAAACATTTACAAAAGGTTAAAGGCAATGTTTTAATGCAGATTTTAGACAACTGTTGGAACACAGTGGCAGAGTATATTATTTGGTTTAAGAACAAAGAAAAGCTGTAATACCTCCCTGCATTTACATATTAGGACAACATTACAAAATACACTAGCTCTTATACTTCCCTGCCCCCCCGCTCACTGGCAGGAATCCCCAGGACAGTATTCTCGCACAGACAGCGCTGTGCAACTGGCAGCAGGATTATACACTCACAGCTGT